ATTGACTGAGCAGAGCTGTTTAGCGAGGATGGGCGAGCGCTCTCATTCAGGTTGCGGACTGACAAAAAAACCTTCTGACTGTGTGTGGATAGCTTTAGACTCATCCTATAGCCATTATGCTCAGAGTACGTTACAATGTATCTATGGTGGCATCATGATACAAGGAGGATGCAACACTCTGTGGCACTACACTGAAAAGATGTCCTTCACTTCCCAGCTGTTCTATTAAAACAATAAATTGCATGATGCAGACACTTCCTTCAACTACACAGAGGCAGAAGCAGATTGATGATTTCCATCTAGAACTGGAAATTCCCTGTAGGAAAAAGGTTAAGCTACTTGTGGTTAATGCCTAATTTTAAAAGAGTTTTGTTAATAAATTTAAACAGTGGCGACTATAGGAACAATATATAGGGGGGCACATAAGGTACCACAGTCAAAACTGGGGGGGGGGGCTAATAATTTTTACCACTAAATCATACCACTGGAAAAAAAAAAGTATATATAAATAAAAGATTACAAATATCATGAGATGACGAGGGAGCATGAAGCCGGGTGCTGCGTCATTACACAGCACCCAGCGAGTGATGAGGGAGCATAGAGCCGGCTTCCCAGCCAATCAGGAAGCCGGGTAGCGTGTAATGACAGACCTCCAAACTTCGTGTGGCCTTCCGAATGGCACAACAGCAGTGTGTAGAGAACTTCATGGAATGCGTTTCCATGGCCCAGCAGCTGCATCCAAGCTTTACATCACCAAGTGAAATGCAAAGCGTCAGATGCAGTGGTGTAAAGCACGCCGTCACTGGACTCTAGAGAAGAAGAGGCGTGTTCTCTGGAGTGATGAATCACGCTTCTCTGTCTGGCAATTCGATGGACGTGTCTGGGTTTGGTGGTTGCCAGGAGAACGGTACTTGTCTGACTGCATTGTGCCAAGTGTAAAGTTTGGTGGAGGGGGGGTTATGGTGTGGGGTTGTTTTTCAGGAGTTGGGCTTGGTCCCTTAGTTCAGTGAAGGAAACACTTAAGGCATCAGCATACCAAGACATTTGGGACAATTTCATGCTCCCAACTTTGTGGGGACAGTTTGGTGATGGCCCCTTCCTGTTCCAACATGACTGCGCACCGGTGCACAAAGCAAGGTCCATAAAGAAGTGGATGAGCGAGTTTGGGGTGGAGGAACTTGACTGGCCTGCATAGAGTCCTGACCTCAAACCGATGCAACACCTTTGGGATGAATTAGAGCAGAGACTGCGAGCCAGGCCTTCTCGTCCAGCATCTGTACCTGACCTCACAAATGTGCTTCTGGAAGAATGTTCAAACATTCCCATAGACACACTCCTAGATCTTGTGGACAGCCTTCCCAGAAGAATTGCAGCTGTTATTGCTGCAAAGGGTGGGCTAACCCAATATTGAACCCTACGGACTAAGACGGATGCCATTAAAGTTCATGTGCACGTTAAGGCCGGCGTCCCAAAACTTTTGGCAATATCGTGTATTTTATATGTAATTTTATAAAAAAGATTTGCTTGTTGTAAATAATGTTACTCTTTACTGTTTTAAGCGTATTTGTGCATGGGAAAGCCATAATTGCTCATTACCTATGCAGGCTCTGCTTCCTTGTGTGCAATGCTTTACAATAATTATACTTGATTGCTTTTCCCATGATAAAAGTCTATGAGTCACTGAAAACAATGCATTCCCTCTGTGGCTGATGACTAAAGATGTCCATACACCTTACAATTATCTGCAGATTTTCTGTGGTCAGATGAAAAAGGTGCAACAGATTCCTCCAGCTACACTTAACTGTGCGGATGGAGTAATCTCCACCTGGGCCAATCTGTATCACCTTTTCCATCTGACCACAGAAAATCTGCAGATAACTGTAAGGTGTATGGGCAGCTTCACTCAGGAATGTAATTACAAAAAGACTGTCTGCTCCCTCTAGTGGGCCATTTACAAACTGATATATTTAATACAATGATAAAAAATATGGATGAGTAAGCATGTAAAAATATGAAAGTCGCATAAAAAGTTACTTTATGTTTAATGCTGCTTTAATAGTATTCAAGTACATACTGAAAATACACTATACTATTCCCTGTGAGCTCTGATCAGGCAGTTATACAGATTTTCTTCTGCGTGATATGCCCACATACTGGTGGGAGTTAGACAACCATTGAATTCATGTATTTACTTTTTTATTTATTATAGGTACTTATATAGTGCTGACAATTTACACAGCGATTTACATGCACAATCACACCACTCCCTACCCTCACGGAGCTTACGATCTAATGTCTCACAAGCAAACGCTTGTCTGTCTGGCAATTCGATGGACGTGTCTGGGTTTGGTGGTTGCCAGGAGAACGGTACTTGTCTGACTGCATTGTGCCAAGTGTAAAGTTTGGTGGAGGGGGGGTTATGGTGTGGGGTTGTTTTTCAGGAGTTGGGCTTGGTCCCTTAGTTCAGTGAAGGAAACACTTAAGGCATCAGCATACCAAGACATTTGGGACAATTTCATGCTCCCAACTTTGTGGGGACAGTTTGGTGATGGCCCCTTCCTGTTCCAACATGACTGCGCACCGGTGCACAAAGCAAGGTCCATAAAGAAGTGGATGAGCGAGTTTGGGGTGGAGGAACTTGACTGGCCTGCATAGAGTCCTGACCTCAAACCGATGCAACACCTTTGGGATGAATTAGAGCAGAGACTGCGAGCCAGGCCTTCTCGTCCAGCATCTGTACCTGACCTCACAAATGTGCTTCTGGAAGAATGTTCAAACATTCCCATAGACACACTCCTAGATCTTGTGGACAGCCTTCCCAGAAGAATTGCAGCTGTTATTGCTGCAAAGGGTGGGCTAACCCAATATTGAACCCTACGGACTAAGACGGATGCCATTAAAGTTCATGTGCACGTTAAGGCCGGCGTCCCAAAACTTTTGGCAATATCGTGTATTTTATATGTAATTTTATAAAAAAGATTTGCTTGTTGTAAATAATGTTACTCTTTACTGTTTTAAGCGTATTTGTGCATGGGAAAGCCATAATTGCTCATTACCTATGCAGGCTCTGCTTCCTTGTGTGCAATGCTTTACAATAATTATACTTGATTGCTTTTCCCATGATAAAAGTCTATGAGTCACTGAAAACAATGCATTCCCTCTGTGGCTGATGACTAAAGATGTCCATACACCTTACAATTATCTGCAGATTTTCTGTGGTCAGATGAAAAAGGTGCAACAGATTCCTCCAGCTACACTTAACTGTGCGGATGGAGTAATCTCCACCTGGGCCAATCTGTATCACCTTTTCCATCTGACCACAGAAAATCTGCAGATAACTGTAAGGTGTATGGGCAGCTTCACTCAGGAATGTAATTACAAAAAGACTGTCTGCTCCCTCTAGTGGGCCATTTACAAACTGATATATTTAATACAATGATAAAAAATATGGATGAGTAAGCATGTAAAAATATGAAAGTCGCATAAAAAGTTACTTTATGTTTAATGCTGCTTTAATAGTATTCAAGTACATACTGAAAATACACTATACTATTCCCTGTGAGCTCTGATCAGGCAGTTATACAGATTTTCTTCTGCGTGATATGCCCACATACTGGTGGGAGTTAGACAACCATTGAATTCATGTATTTACTTTTTTATTTATTATAGGTACTTATATAGTGCTGACAATTTACACAGCGATTTACATGCACAATCACACCACTCCCTACCCTCACGGAGCTTACGATCTAATGTCTCACAAGCATACATACAGGGCAACCTTTTTTAGAGGAGCCAAATAACCTACCAGCATGTCGTTGGATTGTAGGAGGAAACTCACACAAGCACAGGGAGAAGATGCAAACCCCTTGCAGATAGTGATTTATAGACAGAGATTTGAACCAGGGACCCCCCAGTGCTGCAAGACAGAAGTGCTAACCACAACACCACTGTGCTTCTCAGGCTCTTTTGTTCTATTCTATCATGTTCCTTGGGTATGTGCAGCTCAACGTACATTGTCTGTAGATATCACTATACAATGTATAAATATGAACACACTTCCAACTTGCTCCTTTAAAAATTAAAGCAGACCTTTACTCCCTATTCTTTCTATAAACAATATTGCTCCTCCCCCCCCCCTCTTTTTGAAGAAATTGCAGATATCAAAATGTTTTTGGGGAGCGCATCCCGCCTAGGTGAGGATGACGTCCCCAGCAGCCTAGAGCATCCCGCCTAGGTGAGGATGACGTCCCCAGCAGCCTAGAGCATCCCGCCTAGGTGAGGATGACGTCCCCAGCAGCCTAGAGCATCCCGCCTAGGTGAGGATGACGTCCCCAGCAGCCTAGAGCCTCCCAGTATAATCATATCATGCATCCCAAAGGCTTCGGGCCAATCTAGAACACAATGCGCATGCACAGACATGCATCATCAAGAGACCAGCTGCAAGAACCCAGAAGAGACAGCCGGCCACGTTATAACATAAAAAAAGAAGATGGCGGTGCGGGACCTAAAGTGCAGCGGCATTTGGGAAATGGATGTTGAGTATGTGTTTTGAGGATAACCCAGGAAACCAGGTAAGAGGGGAAAAAAACAGGGTGGTGAAGTTTCTCTTTATTCTGATTGTTGTACCTTGCGATTTATCTGATTTTCTGGAACATTGGGATTAATTACTTATGTTATATTATAGGTACTTTAACCTAGGAGGTTGCTACCTAACTAGTTATATTTCATTTTCATCAGCCAGAACAATTAATTTTTATTTCTAACGGTGTGAATGCAATTAGCTTATTAAATAGTCCTATGACTTTGTTTGCTTATGTCACTAAGACCAGAACATTTATTCCATTCCCTCTCCCTATCTCCTATACTCTCTCCATGGTGTCTGTCACAAGTTCAGTAGGATGTCCTGCGTGTCTTCAAGCACAAGCCTGCACCCTCCCCCTTTTACATGATGTCATAAAGACGTCTACAGCTGCCTATTTATTCTCCAGCAGCTTCAAGAGCTTCTAAAACATCAGCTGGAGACCGGTTCAGCTTTCCAAACTTACAAGAGGCAAGAGTAGCACATCACTTCACTTCTCCTACGCAAGGAGCTCTGAAACGTAAGTTCTTGTCTCCTTCCATTAAATAGCTTTTATCTGCATGCATGCAACTAACGTAAACCAATGCATGAGTACTACCAGAAAAAGTAGTAAGAAAGAATTTAAAGTAACACTAAAGTCAGGAGTTAAATCTTAAAAATGCATTCAAGTACTCTAACTATTAACAAAAATGTATCTTATTTGTGTATCACTCAGCTGTAGATCATACATTCATGCTGACACTGTCCTTCCTTATGGAGGGTGACTACTTTTGTTCCCCATGGTCCCTGTGTGTTGTAAAGTAGTCACTGCTCCAAGCTCACTCCCGTGATGGACTACAATCTCACATTTAGTTTACTTATGTGTATTGTGATTTTAGTCCATCACGGGAGCTTGGAGAAGTGGATACTTTACAACACACACAGGGACCATGGGGAAGAAGAGCAGCCACCCTCCAGAAGGAAGGACAGTGTCAGCACCAATTCAAAGATGATTTGAGGATCTACAGCCGAATGATACACAAATAAGATAATTTTTTGTTAAGGCATTTGAATACATTTTTTAAGGTGCAACTACTGCGTTAAGTGTCACTTTAAATTACAAAGATGCAAGATTTGCTATAGGCATGGAAATATAAGTGAATATTACTATTATTTATAGTACTGTTGCAATTACTTATTACCAATATTATTGTTGTATTATACAGTTCGATTATTACATTTTTATAGTTACTTTTATTAATGTCGATTTCTTTTTAAAAGATACGTTTTCAAAATATATATTTTTGGTAGGTTACTGCAGAAAATATAAGGCTATAAATGTAGAATAGTACTGTAAGTTGGTAGGCTTCCGACATACTGGTGGTGCTTGAAACTCCTTATAGACCATAACTAAGTGCCTTCAAAAGGGAAAAAGCTAAGGAGAATACTGGCAAAGTGTACTGAGAGACTGCCTTTTAAAAGCTTTACTTTGCTTTCCCAATGCTCACAAGTTCATGTTACTAATGTACTTCAGTTTCCTGTAACATTGTTCTGAAATTATTCTGTGTGTGCCATCTCCACTGAGAACACTATATGCTATATACATGCAAGTCCTTTTACCACTTATGGAAATTGTATGCAACTCCTTTCACCACATTTAATCACCAGATGAAATGTTCAGACTTTCCAATAAATGTTTATTCTTCTAACAACACACAGATAACATATGTCAAAAGAGAAATTGTAAAGTAGATTAAATGATTGAGGTCCTATCATGAAAAGTAACCCTTACACGAATCATTAGAACACACATCACTATTAACAAATCACATTTTTATTTAGGGTGAAAACGTTCCTCTTTCTCTGTATGAATAAAAACCACAGCTCCCATTTCAGCCTAGGCAACCTATAAGCACATTGTCTTTGACAACCAATGGCTACCAAAGAGAGTCTATTCGGTTTAATCAGTAGGGTGATAAAGGGAACAAAAAATGTACATTTACCCCATATACATATATAATTATGCCTATACTGTATATACAAAAACACATTGATAAGACTGCTCACATCAAGTTGATATCTTTCACATTTATATCTTAAAAAATGAAAAAGGCTAGAGTTCTCATTGAATTACCTATTTAAAGGAAGGACCTCTTCAGGACATATAGGTACTATTTTAGCAGTCAGGTAGTTGTGTCTAAAACAGGTAATAATAATATGCCATACAGAGGGTTGCAAGTTGCTCTTCTACACAATCAGGAGGTTGAAATATCAATATAAATTTGTGTGAGATTGTTCTATCTTCTTAGTAGTGCAGTACAATTAGTAGCTATTGTTTAATGCTCAACCCCAGGATTATCACCTCTTTGCATTATTTGTTCCATTTCCAGCCAGACCACCGCTTCTTCTCAGTCTGAGTTAGGAAGAGATGGCATCTAAATACCTAACCACTTCAAAGTCCACAGTGAAAGAAAATAGGTGGAATAAAACTAAAGTGGTGCTATGCCAAGTCTTCTACTTGGTGCTTAAGGGTCAGATTTACTGTAGAGGAGATTTCAGCAAATTAAGAGGAAATCAGTTAATTATTTTAGAAGAAAAAAGATCTCAAAAAGTTAAAATAATTTGAGTGTGATCATGGAAGCAGGCACCAATATAATGTTTGGTTGCTATTAGAACATAAACTCATTTGTCGGTTAACCTTGGGGCTTCATGTGTCCATAAATCCCCCAGGACAGTGAACAAAGATTGAAAAAGTAGGCGGGGCCAGAAACACAGAACAAAGTAAAGAATTAAGTAATTGTAAAAGAAATAAAAATGTGAAAGTGAGGAGCACACATATGCTACAGACATAAAATATTTAAAACATAAATTTGCTCTTCAAGTGTGAGGATTCAAAGTAGTTGTTCAGATTTTAATAAAGCCTTTGCATTTCCTTTCAGGCTGTATCCATTCCCATTTGTATTGTCAGTAGAGCTACTGAATCTACAGCTCAAAAATTCTGCTTCAATGTTGAGGATGGAAGAAATAGCCAATGGCACAATAACAAGCCAGGGAAATGGCTTATATCAGGATCCACCAAGCCAAGTCAGCAATGGAAAGGACAACAATGAGTATCTCTACATCCTGATAGTGATGTCTTTCTATGGAATATTTCTGATGGGCATCATGTTGGTCTATATGAGGTCCAAGAGGAAGGAAAAAGAATCCAAGCTCTTCCTCCTTTATCAAGATGAGGAGAAGCAATGGATGGAAATCAGAAAAAGTGCTTCTTCCTTGTCTGTATCCAAGCCAACCCCACCTTGCACTGTGTTTACAGTGTTACAGGACACCTTTGCGACAGGCAGGTTCTGTACTGACTGTAATGGAGCAGATAGTAGTATAAGTTCTGAATCTTCATCTTCTGAGGTACACTTTACCATTCAAGAAGAAGCTGCTGAAGGAACAGTTCAAGAAAAGGCAGAGGAAAAAGCTGATGACCCAACTCAGATTTCCTAGCGAAGAACAAAAAAGACAATTGATCTAAGTCTAGAGGATCTCTCTTGATGAGACACTAGTATCGGGTTTAGGGTCATATTGCCTAGTGAGCTCCTTTTAGAGAAATGAACTACAAATGGTTTAAAATCAAATAGTATATTAGGCTATGAATGTGTGCAGAGAGGAAAGGCTTCATAGGCTTTACTGTTGAACCTAACCCTAGAAACCGATAGAAGGTCCTGTCCTACTGGGGGCATAACACAGACCAATAAGCACTCTGTGTGACCATATAGTTCCACAGAACCAGAATTAACTAATAGTGTCAGCATTAGATGCATTAGTTTTTTATTGTTTTGTGATAAGGGTTGATGCTTTAAGTTCCTCACCCTGAGCAAATAAACAGTGTCCTACACTGGGAATCCTACTGGTGTAGAAGGTGTAGGCCAGACACTGCTTTAGACCCAAGCCTGGGTACCTCAGGAGATGGCAACCAAAGGGTATGAAGTGCACTAATGCACAGAGAAAAAAGAAGAGGATTATTTTCTGACATTTAATTGTTGCACTGATAAATGTCAACAAAATGTTATTATATATTGCTTTACAGAAATTCTATGCTGACTGCAGCACTTCTTGGTAGATTGTAGCAAGCACTAGTAACTGTGCTCATTAGTATTTTTCTATTCAATCTTTGCTTTAAAATACTTTTTTTTCCAACAACATTAAAATACAGTTGATGTATGTATGACTTTGAAGTTAACAAATGTATGTGATGCCTGTTTTGGACAGTTTAACATAAAGAGTTAGTCCATCCAAGCCAGATATTTCAATTTAGCCTTTTGGTAGGACTGATGAATCTGTAATACATACAGTAAGCTATCTTAGAATTTAAGGTAGCCATTGATGGAGTGAATTTCGGCTGGTTCCTGATGAATTGGCCAAAATTAGAAACCATGGGTGGCCTTGCCTGCATCCCTCCACTTGACAAAAGTTGATTTTTCAATCGACCTTTATCGAAGGAGCCAGTCCAAACATTTTCAGCTGAACAGTACCTGCATGTGATTGGACCGGGTATTCAGCAGCTGCTGGGGCAGCGGGGTTTCTGCATCCATGCTGTTTAAAGGGACACAAAATGAAATTTTAAAATATGCATTCAAGTACCTTAACTATTAACACAAATGTATCTTATTTGTGTATTACTCAGCTGTAGATCCTCAAATCATCTCTGAATTGGTGCTGACACTGTCCTTCCTTCTGGAGGGGGCTACTTTTGTTCCCCATAGTCCCTGTTTGTGTTGTAAAGTAACCACCATTCCAAACTCACTCCCGTGATGGACTATCCCACGTTTAGTTTACTAGTTTGTATTGAGACTGTAGTCCATCGCAGGAGCGAACTACTTTACAACACTAAGCGTGAGATTGTAGTCTATCACGGGAGTGAGCTTGGAGTGGTGACTACTTTACTACACACACAGGGACCATGGGGAACAAAAGTAGCCCCCCTCCAGAAGGAAGGACAGTGTCAGCACCAATTCAGAGATCATTTGAGAATCTACAGCCGAGTGATACACAAATAAGCCTAACTATTGTTAGTAGTTAAGGTACTGGAATTCATTTTTAGGATGTAACTGCTGAGTTTTGTGTCACTTTAATGTGGATGCAGAAATCAATGGATTTAACTCTTTCAGCCAGCAGGACTGAATAAGAGAAATTTGAAACGTGTATGGCCAGCTTAAGTTCTCTGCTCCACCCACCTAAGCTCTTGCCATCCACCATGACTATAAGAAGGGAGTTTTACTATAATAGCTTTGTGCTATACTGTGGAGAGTGAACAAGAAAAGTGAGCCTTCCTTGCTTGGCCTTATAACAGTGGTAGCAGAAGGCAGAGCCAGTAAGGGGATCTTATCAGTAGAGATCTCTACATATAAATAGCCAGAGGGTGATTCATCGCATTGAACTGAAATGCACTTTGGTAGACTTGTTTGTTTTAGATGTGTTCTATTACATTATAATGTACTAAAGTACTCAATTACCCTGGGATATATAGAACACTGCCCTGTACAAACTACCTACTACCACATACAGTCATTTCTTAGTCAGGAACTTTATAAATTGCAGACCTGCAGTTTTCCTAGCCCTTTTTTTCCATTTAGGTAGTTCTGTTTGAAACAAAGCAACAAGTGGAATACTCTACTGTATGCACTGACCAAATTCCTCCTCTCATCAACCTTGAGCATTCCACACAATGAGAGGTGACTGGTAATAAGTTGCTATGTATCATTGCACTTTTTATGTTGTCTTATTAAATAAGTCTAGTAAGTCCTAGCTTAAAAAAATTTTTTCGGACTACCATTTGCAGTGATGGTAACTGCAATACACAATTCCAAATCTAGCTACAAAGGCAAAGTAAAAAAATAACCATACAACATTTTCCACGGAAAGAAAAAATGAAAATGTTGATATTGTGTGTTTGGATCCAAGGCACTTCAAGTGCAAGTATTTAATGTTGCTGTTTATATAGTACTTTGTTCTAGAGAACAGAGTCCTCTCTCCCATTGAATTTTCTTGTCTTGTCTCATGTTATATTTGATTTGTCATTGTCTTTATAAAGTGCTGTGAATATGTTGGTGCTCTATGAATAAAGGATTATAATAACAACCCTATGCAGAGGTCTTTTACTTAAAGTATAATGATACATGCCCAGTGTATCAACGGATATATAACAATATCACTAGCGTTATAATCTTCTGGCTGCAGCTAAAAAGCATAGGAAGACTAAAACCACACAAAGCTTAGTATTGCTACAAGAGTCTCTATACGTATTCTGCAGGGATTAATGGTCATTGGGCAAGAGGAAGGCTAGCAATGGGGGCACATGACCACCTTGGATATTTGTTTTTGTAAATAGGGATTGGTAGTAATATTAGGGTAGTAGGGTCTCTTTCAATATTATACATATGGGGGAACAGTGGTGATAGGCTGGGAAAAAAGAACTTCTTCCAATGAGGACACCTGTTATGGGAACAAATGTCTAAGAAGGGAATTCCCCTCACTTTTGGAGATTGCTTCAAACTTCCTGTTGCATCTCTGGGACAAGAAGTTGAGGGGAATCCACCTAATGGTACACATAGAGGAACAAAAATTAACCTGGATGGGGTTTTCACCCTTCCGTACTCTATCCAAAAATAATTTTAAAAGTTTTGACTCTACATACACTTTAACTCCTTGGTTCTCAACTGGTGGGTCGTGACCCTAAAGTGGGTCGCGATCCCATGTTCAGTGGGTCGCCGCAAGCCTTCCACTTTTCAAGGTGAGAGGCTTCTCAGCCTTCCCCTAGCGCAGCACTGTCAGTTCTCACACCAAGCAGCCATTCAAAATATGGTGCAGAGTGTCAGCTTGAGGGATGGGATGGGACTATGGCTATGGGAGCTCCATTGGAGCTGCAATGGGAGATGCATTGCTTACAGCTCCCTCACAAGTCTTGTAGAGCTGCCTGGACCAGAGTGATGTCACATTCTGGCTCCTGGCACCTCTATAGGGCATGCAAGGGAGCTGTACAAGCAATGCACATATGGATGGAGCTCCATCACAGCAGCCCACACTGGGCTGCTAAAAAAAAGAAATAAAATACTTTTTGGAGTGTGTATATGTGTGTGAGATTGTGTCTGTGATTGTGTGTGTCCGTCTGTGTTTTTGAGGGCTCATTCACACTAGTACAGTGCGTTAATTGAACAGTCCTATGCAGTTAACTAATCGCACCTACTATGCGTTCTGGTGCGGGAGGTGCATTGCGTTGCCATTCATTTGAATGCCACCCCAAACGTATTTCCTGCCTACAGTTCAATCGCCTGCACAGGAATGCGTGGTACCGCAATGCCGTGCAGACTTGGGTCGCGACTTAATGACCAAGGACAAATGTGGGTCCTGAGGGTACACAGGTTGAGAACCACTGCTTTAACTGTATCACCTAGTATGTCTTTGGTTTCTATTATGCAGTCTATTTCCTTATGCCCCCCAATAGTTAAAACACTTTGATGGTCAAACATGCCCATCAATATTTCTAATTGATGGCTAGTTTGTAGAAACTTTCCATTTAAATATTTGCATAAGAGACAACCAGTCTAATGGTCAGTGTACAAAAAGACTCGCTGGATCAGTGTACAGCCAGGAAATTCCCCATGTCTTCAGCCCTCCACACAGTGAGCAGCATTACCAGAAATAGCTCACGGAATGGCTAGAGGTCTGGCCTAATGCCGTTCACTTTTAGACTAGCTATTTTCCTATGCTACACATTCTCCCAGTTCCCCATGATTTCATACTTGGTGACCTGTGGCAAAAATATTGGGGTAAATCATGTTCCATCAGTAATACATCTTTTTTTAAATAGTATCTGGAATTCTCCATCTGCGGAATTTTGCTATAAATAGGCATGTTTAAACACCAAATAAATTACATCTCTTGCATCTCATGTAAGATAATGTTCACACATATTCCTTTTGTATGTATTTAAGTTTCCTGTTCTTAGCATAAAATTTATGGGCATATCCAGCAAAGTTGTGTAGCACATTTCCTAGGAATCACTACAATTCTGTCTCATCATTACAAATGGAGCACAATCATAGAGAGTTTTATACTGTGTATTTACAAGGATTTTAAATGTCTGGAGGCAAGCCAAGCAGGAAAGTTGGAGTGGCTCTACAATGTACTTGGTACGTGGAGCACACCAGCCTAGGTCTAATGCCTTGTTCACACAAGCAGCAATGGTGCTGGTAAAACCAGGCAGATGATCTTCAGTTTTTGCCACCCCTGGCTGCCTGCTGCAGTGTCAGCACTGCAGCCAACATTGCTGTGGCCGTGATACTTTGTGTTGTGGCAAAAATTATACAGCATGCTGCATTGTTTGAAAATATGCTAAGCCCAGTGCAGATGAATTGGTTTTATTTCACCATCGATGCTGACCCTGTATAGTGCTGTGTTCACATAAGGTTTTATCAAAGGCTCACTCTAGTTAGCATTGATCTACCAGGCACACAGCCAAATGCATAGGCTAACTACCTATACCTATCTAACAATTATAGGATTTATAATTTTGTGCAGTTTGATTTGTGTTCCATGCCCCCAGCCAGCCAGTACAATCAGATCAATGACTTGGCCTAGTACACACACCTAGCTTGTTAACTGGTTAGTAAAGGAGATGCA